AAGGCGTCCCCCTGCGCATTTTTTTTGTCGGTGAGGGGGCCAGAGGGGGCCACATCGGGGATTTGCCCCGCCATAGCCCCCTCTCCAGCCCCCTCATAGCCCCCTCTGGCCCCGCCATAGCCCCCTCATGAGGCGGGGCCCTGAGGGGGCCAGAGGGGGCTGGTGCTGGCAGGGTATTTACCAAGTCCGTCTTATAATGAATATGCTTTCATCCAGATGATGGAACGTTTGTCCGTGTGATGCAAATGCCATAAACACAAAAAATCACACGAAGATCCTGATTTTCCACCATGGATAGAAATATATATTCCTATCTGAGCTTCTTTTCCACATATCTGTAGTCAGTCGACAGTACGTAACCTACAAAAGTAAGACATGTAAATTGGCGATCCGATAGGAATTCGGGTTTCGAGGTGTTTTTCATCCTCTACAGCCGCAGTTATGGAGATTGGTTAACAAACACACTTGCGGATGAAACCCAATAAAACGCGCAACCAAAAAACTAAAACGTAAACGGACAAATAAAATGCTGATTAGTTAAAACAAACAAACGGCGAAGTCAAGCATGCTAGAGAAGCATAATAATATGGTAATCAGAGTGATAATGCGAGAACGCACTGTCTTTACATAATGGAATTATTTAATTACTCACGTAAATATTGACTGTTTGTCGTACAATTCATCAGTTATTAATGTTAAATGATGAACATATTCTCATAATTTGATAGAATGGCGTTTCTTAACGGATCACTGGAAGCCGAAAGCCGTGAAAGATTTACTGTTTGGGCAAACTGCGTGAAACGCCTGAAACGAGGGTCTATATACTACCCGTACTAACATTTCTGACCAACTATGCCAACAAACTAACCCCCTGATTAACTAACTAGCTAACTTATAAATTAACTAAATAACTTACTTTCTATACTTATTAACCAACTAAGTAATTAAACCAAATAACTAACATACTAACTGACTAACTAAAGGACTATCTAACTGTGCTAACACACTAAATAATTTTACTTACTAACTAACTAACTAAATAACTAGCCAACTAACTGTACTAACTATCGAGCAACACTAACTTACCGACTAACTAGCCAACTGAAGTCAATGAATAACGAAATTGTGGGTGAGATGCGTAAAAATATCAAAGCGAGGAACTGCATGCTAAATTCTTATTTGACCAACTTTTCCAATTGGCCGACCTTCTTGATAACATCTTGCGGGCCTCTCAGTGGTCGGAAGTATCACTCAAGCATCATTTACGAAATTTAAACTCAAGAATAGTCCCAGAAGCAGTGGCGGCTCGCATGAAAATATTCGACCAATCACTATTCAGCACCCTAAATAGCCGTCCGCATATCGCGTTTTTTAATCACACCAATTTTTTGGCCTGCTAGGCTTTTAACTCTAGGTTGCCCCTGCAGTATCACCCGTGTCTCCGACCACCTACTCGCAATGGTCACTGTTTTTTGCAATTTTACGGCGAAAGTTTGTTGCGCGAATTCATCTATCTCATTTTCCCAACTGCGAAATATTGGAAAATTGACAAAATTTGTTTATCCATGGATGAATAGACGGAAACCCTATTGGGTGGACCAGAAGGCGGACCCCCTCGTTGATGAGGATATCACCCATGAAAACAAAGATTTTCTTCTCGAGCAGCGTTTAAATTCTAGCTCGCGAAGTCCAGTCATTAACGCGCAGAATATACAGAAGCCGTGGGCACCCCTACAAACTCAGCGATGCGGTTTAATTGCTGTTAAACTTGGCATGTATCCAATGTGGAACAAACGTGGTGAGAAAATCGATTGTACTATTCTTCAGGTTCGTCGCGTTAGACTTTCTAACATGTTACGTAAGACTAGTTTGCGGAGTAGTTTATTCAGTTTGTCGATACGTTGAGCAGTTCTCGTCACTTTCCCTCGATCACCAAATTGTGCACGCTCATGTTTCTTTAACCATATTTGGCATTTTTCGTTTAATTGACACCGTTTATAGTATGCACACGTCGAGCTGTCTTCCAACAGTTTGATCTCGAGAGGAAGATGTAAAACATAAAAATTAAAGTCCTTCAAATTTCATATGCACGCGGTCGAGGGCTTAAGTGACAGTTTTTACCGAAACGGCACTAACTTTGCGGACTGCACCTTTTTGCAGGGTTCTCGTAAACATTAGGCTTCGCGGTCCAAAAACGACACCATTAGAAATTTTGAAGACGCAGATAAAGTACCTTAGGTTAACCAGGAGGCCTGGGAGACGCCTGAACAAGACATTAAAGCGAAAGCGGCTACATTCGAGACCGGTCTAATAATGAGGGTTGGGGCGAAGCTATAACCACGCGCGTCGGGAATGCTGCAGACCGCCGCCGTTAGATCTCAGCCCCGTGTCGCAACACAAACGAGACTTCCTAAACATGTGACGATTCTGGAACAGGGGCATCAACAAGACTAGCGTCAAGATAATTCTTATGCAATGGTCCCTCCACCTTTGGATGGTATACGTCTGTCGTCTGAGTACGATTTTTCTTCCTTGCCTTCGATCAGAAGTTCGTGTTTTGACTAGTATGATCCTTTATCCGTAACGACCATAGAATTGACATAATCCGCCTTCAACGCAGTTGGGCGACTGGGATCCTACGGTGCAGTAGACTTTTTGTTTCCAGTCTTACAGAACTGTTGGCCAGGTTACTCCTGACAACAAGTGCGCTTTTTGATTGGCATTTACGATCGTGGCACTAATTCGCATAGACAAGTCCCTGCCGCTCCGACCTACCGCACGACCGAATCATCACACACCATTTTTCACTGCGTCAGCGATGTTAGGTGTCATCAGCTAGTAATGAAACTCCCCGTTCGAGACGCGGGGTTTGCAAATCGAGTCCAAAAACGTCTACGATGTACTGACTCCCAAATATTTCAGTATTTCGCTTTCCAGCAACCTGTAGGAATCGCATATTTATGTAGCGGTATTAAAAGTTAACTTTGATTAGAACCCCGTCAACCCTAGTTTTTCTCCCTTTCTGCTCATACCGGGAGGCCGCAGGGTCCTCCTGGGAGGTTACATATTCCATGTATCGAACATGTTTTTCTTCTTGGCCTTGACCTGTTGCTTCAGACCTTTAGTCTTTAAGAGACGGATGCACACTTGCGATACAAGGCAGTCTAGCCGTAGTGTGGACTTCGCAACTTACATTTTCAGTTTGGGTTTTCCGTAAAGACGGACCATGCAACCAAGACCGGGTGCCATTTATTCAATGATTTTCAGACAGTTCGATATCACGGAACACGTGTTACCACGTAGACAGGTTGTTCTTTAGCATAGCTGCTGGTTACCCGGCGCGTCCACAGGTGGCGGATAGTGGGACGGCCCTCAGTGAAGGTTAGCTGCGGGATAAGCAGACGCAGGTCTGATGAATAAGCGGTCGCAGACCAGAAACGGCAGTGGTGCGGAAGGCGGGGATCTGGTACGCTGAAAGCCTTACAAAAAAGCCACAAAGGTCGATGACGGCACTGTGACATGGCGGCCGGGAACCGCCATTAAATAAGCCTTCTTGCCACCACTGCCACGTGGTTAAGCTTTTAAGCCAAAGCTCCAGAGGAGGCAACCTCGAATAAACAATCCGAGCGACTGTTGGGCACCCGCCTGTACTCAAACTTTTCAGGAAAATATGTCCGACTACAGTCTTACGACCCATGCTGCGGCGTCCGCAGGAGCCGACGCGCTCTGCAACCCTGGTCCAGCGGTGCGGGCGAATAGTTTGCGAGCTGGACTACTCAATCGGGGCTGACTCTTGGCATTAGATGCTGGAATGTGCGGACGTTTCTGGACCCCGGTACCGATAATCTGACCGCGCGCAGCCTTAGTCGCTGCGACATGGGTGTTTGCTGTCTGTCTGAAGTTCGACTGTCTGTCTCAGGCTCTCGAGAAACAAAGATCCCTGGAGTCGAATCACACTACTGTGTACTACAGCGGCCCACGCGACTCTTCTGTTAGAAATGATGCGGCGATCGCCCACTCACAACAAGCGGACCTCGCTTTACTTGTTTGGAAACCAGTCAATGACCGGATGGCCTAGTTGCGACTGAAGAGTCATTTCACGAACATCTCCATTGCCTCTGTATACGCACTAACTTCAGCTGCCGAACAGCGCGATATAAAGGCGTTTTACCCGCTGCCGCAAGCGTTAGTCGAAAGACTCCCTCGCCGTGATCTGCTGATTTCTGCCGGGAATTGGAGTGGTCGGACTGGACCTGGCGACTCCACAAACAGTCATCTTATTGGCCGCTTTGGGCTTGGCTCTCGATGTGAAAATGGCGAGCGATTGCTGAACTTCGCTGATCAGAACCGACTGCTTGTCACCAACACGTGTTCCCAGCATCAAACAAATCTGCTGACCTGGTATTCAAACGACGGTCATACGTCCAGTCAGATTTACTACATACTAGTCAGCTCAAGGTTCTGCAGTTGGGTTCACGATAGCAGATCGATGCATGGTGCCGAGACTCGTAACACCCATGGGCCGGACCATGTCCTCGTTTGTACATTCTTGAAAGTTCACCTCTCTTCTTCGCCAAAAATACCACGCCTCGACGTCGCAAAAATCCGACAGACCAGAACTGTCGAGGTCCTAAGCAGAGAAATCCAGTCGTGTTTTACGACCCGAGCCGGCAGAGCAGGCAGTAACCAGTGGTCGTTACTGAATACGTCAGTCTATGGGACAGCTGAGATAATCCTTGGATATACCAAGCGACGCCGCAGTGACTGAATCAGCGGGAGAACTCTGCTGTTGTCTGCTCAGACGGCTTGAGCTAGGTCCCGTAATGATGATTCCTTCCGCCAACTTCGGAAGATGACGGCAAAATCGACCAGGGATGACGAGAAGCAATATTGGGCTGAAATTCAACCTCCGTGGAACAGGCCTCAGACGTTGGTGACACCCGGAAACTGTTCTAACTTATCCGCCAAGTTAGTAGTAAGCTCCCTACTCTGAGTGACTCTGTTCGCAACGTGAATGACGGCTGCATTGCTGAAAACTCGACCAAAGTCGAGCGCTGGCATGAGCGGTTTGAGCACCATCTCAACTTGGCCACCCAGCCCACCACGCCCTCGGTCTCCTCTGAAGCAGAGTTTCTTCCCTCTGCAAACTATGCGACCTTCCTCATGAAGGAGAAGTCGCCGATGCCACACGAAAACCACGCAAAAACAAGTCACCGGAAGAGGGCGGCATATCGGCTGAAAGCTACGAGTCTGCTGTCGATACTCTGGCGCCCTGGCTCCATAAGGTGATTGAACAAGTGTGGAGAGAGGAAGTTGTTCCTGATGACGGGCTCAGACATCCTTGTACCTATCCTCTAGAAGGGAGATAAGACATCAGCTGCCGAATAGCGCCACAAAGAGGCTTTTTGCTCGCGGCTGCAAGCGTTAGTTAAAGTATTCCCCTGCCGTGATTTGCTGATTGTTGTCGGGGTCTGGAATGGCCGGACTGGACCTGGCAGCTGCTGCCGGTCGCTTTGGGCTTGGTTCTCGATACGACAATGGTGAGAGACTGCCGAATGTTGCTGATCCGAATCAACCATTTATCACCGTCACATGCGTTCAGCATCGCCACAAACCTCTGCTGGTCTGGTATTCAACTGACGGTCACACGACCAATCAGATCGACCACGTTATAGTCAGCCCAAAGTTCAGCATCTGGGTTCACCATAGCAGATCAATGCGTAGTGCTTGAACTGGTAACGCCCATGGGTCGGGCGGTGTTTTTGTTAGCACACGCTCAAAAATTTGCTTCTAATCCGCACCTCAAATATCATGTACATGACACCCTGATGTCGCAAAACCGCAACAACCCAGCAACTCCGAGCCTCTGAGCAGAGAAGTCCGGTTCTGTTTTACGACCAGAGCCGACGTGGAACGCAGCAGCCAGTGGCCATCATTAAGAGAAGAAAAAGATGCAAGAACTACCGCGGTGTAAGCCTCATCGGCGTTGCTGCGAAGGCTTTTGCTGTTGCCCTCGGACGATTCCAGTCTGTGCGTGACCAGGACGAGGCCCAACCATGCGGGATTCCGAGCTGGGCTGGCTGTGCGGACCAGATATTCATACTGGACCCACCGTAGGTGCCAACGACGGACGGTTGTTTGCCTTGCTGTCCTCGCCGACGCGTTTGATTCTGTCCATCGTGAGTCCCTATGATGAATTATGAAACTAACTGTGTGCTTGCCAAAGGCATCACCATGGTCAAGGTCTTCCATCGCTCTACCACCGTGTGATCCCCCGTCCATAACAACCTCTCCTAACCGTTCGGTCTCACATCTGGCATTCGACAGAATTGTATCCTGTCACCCATTCTGTTCGACCACACCATTGAATGGATTCTCGCGAAGGCCTTACACGAAGTTTACGCTATTAAACTAGCACACAAACACCGGCTGACTGATCTCGTCCACGCTGATGCTAGTTTCAGGCTTTAGTGGTTTACAGTCTGGTGCAACGAGTGAGTGTGGTCTCAGTCGTCTTATCCATAAACGTTGAGAAGACTGAAATGTTTTCAATCTGCATCCCGGACCAGGGAAAGGCATTCCTAGAGATTAATGGCTGTCCACTTGAAGAAGTGGACAGTTCCGAATACCTCGCAGGAGGGCTGCAGCCCAATTAACAGAGTAAGGAAGACATTGTTTCCTGAGTCTATGCTGCTCACCGGGTTTTCTCAATCCTTAGAAATTGTATTCGGACCCGGTGCGTCACCTCCATCGTTGCGAAGATTCGTGTGCATCGTCCAGTCAGTGCTCTACGGTTATGAATTCTGGGTCGTGCGCGTGGAAGACAAGCGAAAATCAAAGGTATTCAAACACCACCGCTTTAGGACCATCCATCGAATCAGGTACGCCGACTCAGACGAGACAGTCCGTCCTCGCGGCGACAACATCGCAAGGATTCTGCTGACCCTCCAAGAAAGAAGACTGAGGTGGTTTGGAGACGCTTTTCATCGTCTACCTTACTAACTCAGTGTTGCTGCCATCGATCCGGCATCGTTACCCGCCTGCAGGCGTTGAAAATGAGGTTTACTCAAACTTGACTTGGCACAGATTGTCGAGACATGAAAGTACGTCTTGGGCTTTCGGTTTTCGGTATTCGTAGCTCGCGAAGAGAATGAGTCGACCTGTTCCGATCAGCTGCCACTAATCGTTACGCGTGGAAACGTACAGTTATTGATATCATCAAGGCCGGCTAGATCCAGGTTCCTGCTCAATTCTAAAGTGCGGGCGACCGCGGCATGTTTATCTCATAGTTAAATTGGACGGGCAGGATGAAGTTAGCCCGTCGGGTCTCTGCGCCGACTGAAGGACATTAATTTGTCTGAACGAATTGACAATATACCCCGATAAAGCTCAGGGACTTGGAAATATACGATCTTCCGGGGCCGCCCAGAAAGCACTTCTGTCGAGTAGATCAGACGCCGCAAGGGGACCTAGGAGACAATCAGTCGTCCCTGTTCTATGATCCACGCAGGGCAGATATTTTTCCAATATGACTCCTACCATGACGATGCGCGTCATGTTTTCTTTTCTAACGTTTTAGAAGAATAACAAGTATATTTTCCTTCGAGGTTGATTGAGCTGACGCTCCTGCATTTAGGGCTTGCAAACTTGCACCTCATTTTCGGAGAAAAAGCAGGATGGAATGCCATTTGTTTGAGACAGGCGTGGTGCGCCATACACATGAAAATTCCATCATGAGCTCTTCATGTGCAGCATAAAGAAATTTCTCATAGGTCCGACTCTCCTCCCATTATTGGTTTTGAGGCTCGAATTTTAGCGACAGGTGGCTGCACAGCCACAATCGCAGCCGAAATAGCAAGGGCAGCTTTGGTGAGTGTTTCTCCGAACACATTAGGCGATGATGGGTTTATCGACTTATCACCGTGCCCCTTACTCAGCGAGCTAACTGCCAAACTTGTCCTCGTTTTGCTCGTTTGCCAGAAAGTGGCATTTTCGTCTAGCGAACCGTTATGCAGCTAGAGCACTCGTTTGTCGCTGACCTCTGGAGCACGTTTTTTTAAAAAAAATATGACACTACCTTCACCGACTTCGTCCAGCCTCCACTGAGCATGCCGTGTGACAGTACAGTTCCTAAATTGCGTATATCTGTCGTTTCGGGTGCGTCGAAAGTTCGGCCTACGCCTTATTTTTTCATAGTTAAGGTTTGCCGTACCCTTCCGAGCGTTCTGTGCAATCATGGTGGTAGATCGAGCTCAGCGTTCGTTATAAAGTTTAGAAGCTTGTCAATCACCTAACAAATAAAAGGTGAGGAAATAAGGACATTCCAGGGCCGACCTCCCCATCGACACTGCTGCCCAGTCCAAGTCAGGCGGCGGAAAATTTCGGCTATTTGCACACTGCATGACGCTTACATTGCCCAAAATAGGTTCACCATCCCACATCGTCATTGCTTATTATCATGGGGACTTAATCACTAACGATTGGGTCGGTTTGTTTCTCGACAGTGGCACTGTTCTTGCGATGAGTCGGCGTTAAATTCACCTCAAGGAGGTTGTCAACTGTGTGTATTCTCTTCTACAAGATTAACTCCACTTGCGCCTTTCTGTCGAAGGAAGCTTACTAAACGCCAACTTCAGGCTTCAGTTGAGGCGAGTTCGCTGCCTCTATTCGTTTGCTGTCTTTCAGTTTCTCGAAACGGAACGTACACTTCGGGCTACATTACTGCGATAAAATATGATCAAGTTCTTGCGTTCGACTGCTGTGCACTGTAACCCCGTCATCCACCCTCGGTCTACCCGACCTATGGACTCCTTTAACCCTTGTTTGATCGCTGGGTCTGCGCGGCCCGGAGTTGGTGTTTAGTTGACTGACATGGCAAAATAATTAGTAAGCGACCTTTTCGGCAACACTTCCCCGGTCATATATTGCGCGTCACTGTTCGACCTACGACGTCTCAAGACCGTAGTTCCATTGTAAATCAGAAGACCCGCATTTCACCCTATAGGCAAGTTGATGAGCATCGCTCCTATGCGATTTCACAAGTCCTCCTTATCTTCTGCACTGCAGGACGTAACCCAAGTGTGAGTTGCTTTGGTAAGCCGGTCCTTTGAAGGGTTGCCACCAAATCTGCCTACGGTGTAAATATTTATTCATTTTCAGAGGATTGTTGGTTACACGTCGTTTTCTAATTTTCTGACCTGTTTCAGTCTATCTATATTGGGTTACTTCTGAAAGGTGATATGATTTAGCTTAGTTAACCAGGTCGCCTTCCATCTGCATCTATGACAAATACCGACTGCCCATAGACTAGAACTCTTGACCCCGATTGTCGTTTCTCCGCCTTGTAAAGTTTTCTGACTGTTTTCGTATTATCTTATTCTGCATCGAACAAAACAATTATTGCTACTTACTACAACCATGTAATATCTCAAATTTGCGCTGTTTTAGGTTCCGGATAATCATGCGCTACGATACGTACCGCCGGATCAGTTAGACAACTACCTAAGTTTACGTGATCCTCGTGGCGACTGGTTGAACAATCAACGACTGCCTTCTTGGATCACTCAGAAAAGGTGGGGTTTGCAAATAGTGGGGGCAATGAGTGCCGATCCGATTGAATTCACGCCGGAGTGGTGCGGTCTCTTTACCAGTGCCGGCGTTGCTCCTAAACGTAAAATTTCCCGCTTCCTCGTCAGCCCTGATGCTGCTCTTGATCCTGGTAAGTTGTCTACACGTCTAACTTGGGCTAGGTCTTCTGTTTTTGATTTTTTAAATTTCCCTTTGTTTGAGGATCGGGAAGTCCCTAAAGCCTGTTTCCCCGAATGCTGATGCTAGTAGAACTTCTTATACTAGTAGAGACAGGGATCTGATCTGGATTGGTTTGGAGAGAGAGAGAGTCGGAGATAGAGACAGGTCAGATGCCTAAACTATCCGTTTGCACGCCATAACTCAAACCCCCTGCAGCAGTTCACGGTTTGAGACAACCCAAGGGCAGCAACGAACGATGCAAGTATTTCTACCGCCTCTCCGTGTTCCTTTTTATCAGAAAACCAGGTCAGACCATCTGGCGGTGAGCTCGTAACGTGTGACAGATGGAAAACACATCAATGCATGTGTTGATTGGGCGTAGCCCAAAATCCAGACCCCAAGTAACTTTCGGCATGTTTTAGTGACAACTAATCTCGTATTCTTTTGCTGCCCGCCAAGCCGAACTTTTGCTTGTCCCCAAAGGTGGCCAGCAACTTGGGATAGCGCATCTGCCCTGAGCACTGCCCGTTTTTTGTCGCGCACTTATATGTCGAGTCTTTGTGTTATTCGGTTTGTGTTACTAGTGGACAGGGCAGGGAATAGAGAGTGAGATCGACTCAGCGCCGTTTCCTCACTATATAAACAATCTGACGCGCTTCAATCTAACATGGCGCGCTAAAAGTCGTGGCTTTGCTGCCAATTGACGGGATAAGTCGGTGCTCGCAGTCAGGCCAGTGTGTGCAGTCGACCGGTGGGCTGAGTGTCAGGCTACTTCCTGATGTGCCCTTTATGTCACTCCCACTCCGAGCCGCCCCTTGTTTGTGCAAGAACTTGATCCGTCGTGCGCTAGAATTGTCGTCGTCGTCGTGTCGCCGTCTATAATTGTCGGCCACTCTGTCTCCCATCTCGCCTTTAGGCCTTTTGGCACCGGACTCTGGTGATTTGGAGAGTAGAAAGAGGGTGTGGTAGGTGCCGTGCAAGTCCCCCTATCAATCCAAACTAGTTCACGCTCCAGTCACCGTACCTGCGCCCACCCTACTCGCGATGGTCAAACTGTCGAACTATGGTGGTAGTTGCGGTAGGAAGTTGATAACTGCCAGTCTTGATCAGCCTAACTCCTCCACAGGCAATACCACGACCTAGCTCTTGCAGTGCGTCCCGACAATTTGAAGACACTTCCAGTGTATAGGAGGTAGAGCCATATGCGTTAGACTGAGGTGCACGCCACGTCAGCCATTGCATTCAATCTCACCTCTAATTGACGTTACTCAAACTAGCGACTTATACGTGGGCGAGGGGGGGGGCAGTGGAAGAAGGATATTGATCTAACACTTAGTCTTTTCACTATGAGCAAACAAACGCGCTCTTGAACTATCTCAACGCACTGAGAGCCTTGGCTTAGAATGGTGCCAGTTGACCAAATAGCCTGGTCCAGTCCACAACGAGAGTATCGAATTACAATGGCTCCTTAATGTGGGCCTTATGACAGTGATAAATCTCGTCCCTTTAGTATCCAACGGTCGTGGCTGTGCCGATTGCACAGGCTTGTGTCGAACTCACCATTCAGCGTTCGCGTAAATAAATTATGTACGTGTCAAACATGGGGGGGGGGGGGAATTTCGTTGAATACTTTTATTCCGCCTGCAACTACGGACCTGGCGGTTTGAGCCGCGAATTCGCGGTCCATTTTTCTGATAATGAATTGATAACAAGTTAGATTGCGATTGCGGTTGTGTTAACTTTTTACCAACTCGGTTTTACGCTTCAGAAACTTTTTAAGACCGTGAAATGTCCATTCATATTGCATCTTATCTGCCTGATTTTCTGTCCATGGAAAGAATACGGCATGTAGTTTGGAAACCCTAAGCACAAGTCCAACCGCAGGTCGGTTTCAAAATTATTCGGGATTGGGGAAGTTTTTAAAACGCAAACGTACCCTTCTCTTTAAGTATCTAATTTGCCATCAAATGCGTGCGAGAACAATATTTTTGACTATGTTTCCTATGCAATATATTTAGAAGGGAGTTGAAGATGGATGAGGGAAATTAATATTACTGAAGTAGTCATCTTTACCCAGTGTGGTTGTTGAAGGCGGTTGGAAAGGGGTTATTTAAAAGCCAGCTCCCTGGCGGGGCTGAAACATCTTGGGACTATGCCGTCCACTGGACAATACTACAACCCCCTCTAGACAATCCTTTCTAATCGAAAGTGCATTTTAGAATTTCGACCAAAATTTCGTGAGATAAGCCAGCTGGTGCCTGTACTCTAGTTCGCAGACATCAGAGGTCTCGAGTGCCGCAGTACGTTCAAAACAATCTATTTTAACCGTGGTGTCCGGAACCTTATCGATGCCTCCGTCCACTGATTAAAATCATTCTGTAACTCCCACTACACCTGCTGGTGAAACAGGATACGTATTTACGAGCACTACCGTCGGGCCGTCTGCAGACTCAACCTGCTATCCGAAAAACATTGGTCTGAAATTCGCTTAAGGAAGGAGCGGTTGGGGTTAACTGTACATGTTTAAACTACTTTTGTCTTGAAGAGTCCCGTCTGTTGGTGAGATCGGCCGACGTTATTTGCGGAGGTCCGCCTCATCGGACTCGCGAGAGCCTCTTATGAACTAGTTCTTGGCACCTAAGTGCTTCATTTTTTTCTCTTCAGGCACTCCGATTTACATGCAACACTTTCGTATCGGCGACTACGTCGATGTGACTGCCAGAACGTAAGTACTATTTCCATACGTGTGCATCTCGAGCAAGTTCGCTTTCACACACTTTTTATAACTGCCAGACATGTTCGCATTCTTAAACCGTGTGTATCATTGTGCTCATTTGATTTCATACCTTCCAAGAGGCACATTCAATTGCCCACCGGGCAACTTAACGTGGCAATTTGGGCAGCCTATTTCGTGTTACCCTACTTTGTATTAGATCAAGTCTTTGAATGGTTATTTTTTCAGACTGACAAAATGCATAGGTATTTGGGCAGTTTTTTGAATAATTCACATTGGCCCAACTGTGAAAAACTCGGGTCCTCGGTGGGATTCGAACCCACTCAGTAAGGGGAAGGCCTTAGTACAGCCAAAGCTCTAACCAATTGAGTTACCTGGCCCCGCCGGAGGACGCGAGTTTAATCATATTTGGGTAAGTTACCCGCCCAACCTACTGCAACGTCCGGAATCCACCAAATCTGATATAGTAAGTTGACTGCCCAAGCAGGATTTCCTAAGTAATTCACCTAGAATCCACCAGATGACTACTAGGCTCACTTAAAGCCTTCCCCTTACTGCGGGGGGTTCGAATCCCACCGAGGCGCCGAGTTTTTCACAGCTAGGTCAATATGGACTGAAGAAAATACTTCAAAATGTAAATTACCTGTGAGCCACCGGCCATTTCTGACGTTTACTCATCCGCCCGACAGAAATGCGCACGTATCCCCCTCGTTTGTTGTAGATAATTGCAGAAGTACATACTGCGCACACTCCCCGTAACTAGGATGAAGGTAGATATTATGTTGTCTTTTCGAGTGAAGTAGGATAGCTGGTTTTTTTAGGAGACTTCTTCGATTTGAGGGCGAAACTTCGAGTTGCAGGTGTATCCATGAGTGAAGAAGAAGAAGAAGAAGAGGGTTTGAGCACCGGAACACTGTGTTTATTGTCCTGAGCTTTCGGACTCCTGCAGGAGTCCATCGCCAGAGATTTGTTTTCGTCTTCGATTTGTGTTAGTTCGAAAATGCAGCTTCGACGTAAGTGACTGGACCACTGAACGCATCCTGTTGTTAGGTATCTTCTAAGCACAAGATGCCTGTCTTGACAGATGTTTCTTATACTCACAACTTGGTCTTCTGACCAATACTATGCCGGTGCCGGGATATTCAACGGAATCCGCGCAAGTGGTTGGTCTTTACCCCGGTCGTTTGGCAGAAAGTTCGGCCTGAGATGGCAGAAACTGTTCTCCTACTCAAGAGTTTCGCCGTTTACCACGACCAGACAAATACGTTGACTGCGAAATCCGAGGTGACCGTCTCTGTTTTTGATCTGTTACTTTTCAAAGCCACCTCGGTCACATTCATACCTACCTGTAAGACTCCACACTGCACTTCTAAAAAACAGTTTACTGTCACCGCAACAGATCCGTTATACACAGATCATGATCTACTGTGACATCAGGGTGGTCTGCCAACTTGTCCTGAAGAACCGCGCATACCATATGACTAGACACATCCAGTGAAAAAACACTGCTTTGACAGCCGCATGCCTTTCTTGGGGATTGACATAAAAACAACGCCTCCTGCCATCCTGCCTACATCACGCGCCGCTGTGCGGTTGCTGGTGGGGCTCGAGAGAGAGAGCACAACGGAACGAGCGAGTCCCGTAAAAAAGACCGGTGAGCGCCCCTGTACCATTATTGAAAACGCGCATCTCAGGAAATTTAATTAGGAGGATGGAGTTCCTTGGGAAACTACAAATTAACACAGTAAAATCTGCAGCTTCCCAATGCATGTTACACCGTACTCCTGACATAGGTTCTAACTAAAAGCCCACACACGTGTTTAGCCCATGTCCTGCCGATGCCTGACACAGCTACGAGGGATTCGGCTCCTCAGTGGGCCCTCGCAGCTGTGTCACGCAGCGGCAGAACATGGGCGAAACACGTGTCTGGGCTTTTAGTTAGTACCTATGTCGGGAGTACGGTAAAGTACGTCGGCCATATGCATTTCATACTACTCGTAGTACCACTTGTTTGTAGAATGGACATTACGTGGTTATTCCACATTCCGGCCTCCCTTGTCTTTGTCGGTACCATCCCATATATTTATATAGAGCGGCTAGGAAGGACGGCAGAAAATGCGGGTAGATTGATATAGTATTGTTTCGGGCATATTCTGCCTTCATTCAGCCAATGATAACCGTGACCAGCAGCTGGGACCAGAAACACAAGCATGCGCACAGACGCACCTGGCGCAGTTGGTCCACCACTGGGGTCTACCAATTGGGTCATATGTGTATAAATAATGGTAGGGGGCGCTCACCGATCGTTCTTACGGAACCCACTCGTTCCGTTGTGCCTTACGGGCTCTCTGGAGCCTAACCAGCAGCCGCACAGCGGCGCATGATATAGGCAGTATGTTATTACCGACAAGGACAAGGGAGACTGGAATTGCCATTTCTGGCTTATTGGCCGTCGTCAGCCAGTCGTGACCAACGCCGAAGTGTGGAACACCCGAGGCTCGAACTAGCGACCTGTTAGTTAGAAGTCCACGCCTCCAACCACTGGGCCACGAGCCCGTTGTCCTGTCGGTTTTCGATCGGGAATATGCAATGTTAGGGAGCACTCACCGATCGTGTTACGGAACTCACTCGTCCCGCGTTGTGCGGGTTTTATGCTAGAATCCTGTCTGGTCGAAAGTTGGATAAAATACTCTATGCCGGACTGCAATGCCCGACAGTGAAGCTCTACGCTACACCTTTTTTCCCCTGGTCGTTGTGGCTTATTCTTCTGTGTTTATGACCCTGGTTCTATTCCTGCGACTGTTAATTCTGCCATCATCCGAATGAGTTGCTGTAGCGACCTTCAGTTGCAATTCGGAGTTCAATTATTGTATGCTAGCCGAATAAACAAATGTTGATCTTCTATGGTACCGTCACATCTACATATTCTCGTCAGGATCGGTGTTCCTAGGTGTAAAAGTCCCTGCCCAGCCACTACTACATACGACTATTTCAATGTTAGTTTCTTCTTCTTCTTCTTCTTCTTCTTCTTCTTCTTCTTCTTCTTCTTCTAGGGCTTCCTGAAAGAATGTTCTGCTTACCCTTTTTGTTTATCAATCAGTTCGACCGTTACTTCACATATGCGAAACTGATTTAAATTTGAATGATTAGGCCCTGCTTGTGAAGGATTAATAATCAAGATACGCTGCCGAAAAAGAGGTTGACTGAAACGGTCAACTAACTGTACCCCAACCACAGGCAAAGCAAACCGGGGGGTTTCGAATTCAGTCTCAGTTGACCATTGAGTCGGCGCTATACCGTCAAGTCCATGGATTATGCTTTTTCGACTGCGGTTGGGACTACAGACAGTCGTAGGACTGGCATCCCTTGATCCATCTTAGTCACAAGGTGGAATACTGCCTATGGATGGATGTCATACATCTGCAGCAACAGATCCGAACTTGTTTTGTTTCATGTTCTTTGGAAACCGCAGTTTTTGCATAGCTTCCCATATTCGTCTACTGGCTTACTTTAGGAAATACTACAACCCTACTCGAGGACTCTAAAGCGGTGAGGGCGAAAAATCGATGACAATTTGATGAGAACTGCAGGGCTTCTAACACACATTAAGTTCTACTCTCATGCGCACTTTACTCTTGGCAGAACTTGTTTATGGACACCCTCCTGGAGCTGGCAACTAAAATACATCTTCGACCATTTATGATGATGTAAAGGCGTAGGTTGACGTCTGTGTGCCCCATCTCCACAGTAGACCCTTTGGCCCCAACGACTTGTTTACGGCCCTCTGGTGGTTGTGAAATGCTGTTATTTTCAGTCTGCATCTGAGAACTGTGTCTTGCTAGCATTATTTGCTCTTTTTCTGCACCTCCAGAATCAATCGTGGCTTTCAGGGTGTAATTGAACGATGGGGCATGAGTGGTGGTCCTGCCCTTCATGGCAGCACCAAGTTCCACCGACGCGTTGGCAGCCTGGCGGGTGCTGGGGTGAGTTTCTGTAGCATCTAGCTGATTCACACATCATTTGACGGCAGTCCTCTGTTAATCACTTCGAACTTTCTTTTAGAAAAAAGTCATTCGTGGCAAAAAGATGCCCGGTGTAATGGGCAATCGTTACAGATCACTGCGCGGACTGCAGGTTTGTTGTTCAGTCGAAAATGGCAAAAAAGCTCTTACCCCTTTTCTTCGTGAACTGACCCCTAATCCCTTGTTGTGTAACGGTTTAGATTTTGCGTATGAACCCCAGGTTGAATCTTATCTACCTTTCTGGACCGACCCCGGGACCGGTACACTCCTTCTGCCTGCTTCATGACTCCTGGTTGATCAATAGGCAGCATGAGCTTGCTGAAAATCCCCCACCGAATCCAACCTGGTTTCCTAACGAGCAGGAGTCCTTGAAGGCTGAGGATAACCAACCAGGTTCGGTGGACTACTTCGATGACTTTGCTGAGGATGTCTATCACGAGTCAATCCATCGATACGATGAGCCAAGCATAACTTTCACGTCATAGCTGCCGTTTTGTATGCATGACCCTACTGTACATTCGATTATTTGCTGTTTTACCTCGGTCTAGTTTTTGATACTTTTGTACCTCAATGGTCTTACTTTTGGTGGATAGAGGGAGGCAATAGTCGATCAGAGTTTGACCTCAACGATGTTAACCTCAGCTTCTTCAAGTACTCCGTGTAGTCCTCCTGAGGAGAGGGAGATGCGATCGCTGAGACACGAATTTTACTCGAATGACGTTCCGCATTCCCACTCAAGGGCACTATTAGGGACAGTCGCAAGTAGGAGTAGTGGACATGCAAGAGGTGCGGTATTTACAGGATGCAGTTAGCACGCGATCATGTACAATTAATTTCTGATCTCACTAAATGCTAACTGTAATTCTGAAATGCGTTTTCGGTTGGACGAGATTACTTAAGTGGTTATTCAATGAATTACGCGAGCCTGGTAGTCATCTGGTGGATTCTAGGTGAATTATTTAGGAAATCCTGCTTGGACAGTCAACTTACTGTATCAGATTTGGCGGATTCCAGACGTTGCAGTAGGTCGGGCGGGTAACTTGACCCAAATGTGATTAAACTCGCGTCGTCCGGCGGGGCCTCGTAGCTCAGGTGGTTAGAGCGTTGACTGCCCTAAAGCCTTCCCCTAGCTGCGTGGGTTCGAATCCCACCGATGCGCCGAGTTTTTCACAGTTGGGTCAATATGAATTAAGCGGCTATCTTACAAAGTAGTCCCGTGGCATTTCAGACACGTTAGGGTGTTGGCTGTTGAATGAGCTTTTCGGCCACCTGCAAAAACTGCGCTATGTCGTAAGCCTAATTATTAGCACAACTAAACAGACAGGTACGATGCTACTGGAGTATAATTTACACGGTTTTAAAAAGTCCACACAATTAGAAAATCTTTAAACCGAGAGATACCTTTTCTTCAAATGCAACATTTGAACACGTTATTTGCGACCTTTAGGGTAAGGTGATTCCATACTAACAGCACAGGTACTTGAAGAAGGAGACACGATGGCCGGGACAAGAGCTTTATTAGCCTGACGTTTTGGATTCCTGCTCGAACCCATCATCAGAGACAACAGCAGATACACGGGTTCGAGCAGGAATCCGAAACGTCAGGCTAATAAAGCTCTTGTCCAAGCAATCATGACTCCTTCCTTAAGACTACTTCCTGGGACTCGTCTCTTCGCTTCTATTAGCACAGGTACTAGGCAAAAGCCCATCCACACGTGTTTCGTTGATATTCTGCCGCTGCACGACAGCTGCGAGGGGTTCGGCTCGTCAGTGGGTCCCCAGCTACCTAATAGGAACAATAAATACCTGTTGCATGTTTTTTTGCAAAATATTTCTGAATTTATAAGAACATCGAAAATCGGTGGAGAGACTGCACGATACTCAAGTGGTCATTTTCTACCGAATGCGTTTTTGGAGGGAGGTGAAGAGAAGTGCTCAAAAGTCAACAGCCTGACGTGTCCGAAATATCACAGGGTTATACCACAAGATAATCACTCTTAAAACCCCGCCTAAACAATCCTCCCTGTTCGAGAACGCATTTCTGAATTCCGGTTAATATTTCATGAGATCGGTCACTAGCTGCACGTACCATAATTAGTAGCTGGTTGTTGTAACGTGTGCGATGATAGCTTGCCCGTACACATCTGAGTCGCTAATTGTCACAGTTTCATCACTCGTGCTGGGTCTTGGTGTGATAATGGCCCGGAAATCTGGCACGCCGGTACTCGAGCCACCGCCTGACCGCGCCCCCCTCGCGACTAGTCTCAGCACATAATATGGAGGTGTGAGGTCATTTCGCTTGTTAGTCGACCGTTGTCCGGAGAACCGCGACCCAAACATCTCGTGGCTCACGCTGTTGCCACCTCGCGAGAATGTGGACCACACAGAACTTGACTGCGTTGACGGGCCCCGTAGAATGAGCCTCGACCTGAGAGTTGGAGTTCCTCATGGCTACTGCACGCTAGGCCATCCGTATCTCCAGCAATCTCCCAGCTTCTCCAGCGTTGCTATTTTGCCCACAACTGTGCCAGACCCGGTATACGACGTCAGACATTTCTCGTAAAAATGTTAGGAGAATAGAATTTCTACTCCGCCGGTCACATAACCTGTTTCGTGGAACTCGCTTTTTCGCATTTGCCGGCGGTCTAACAACTTGTCAGCAACCGCGCCTTTCGGGTCTCATGGACTCATTTGCATCTCTTTACCTCCTGCTCTCTTGGTAGTTAAACATTTAAACGCCGTCCGGTGAACTGAGCAACCACTTAATGAATTTCGATAAAATGCCAACGGCCTTCCGTTAAGGGTTGTAAATCCGTGTAAAATTAAATCTGGAGTCGCAAAGTCCGAGCTCCGGCTCCGTGTCTCGCCACCTACGCGATGAGGTATTGCTCGTGCTCGTAAATTTTGTTTCACCACCAGACCTGCTCACTCCCATCCTATCACGTCGCAAACTAATAAATTCGATGAGCAACGGTATCGATTTGCAGGAGTCTGGGGGTAGGTGGGGGCGGAGACAGACAATTATGTAGAAGGATAACTTTGGCGGCAGTCGTAGGCCGAAGGGTACTTCGGCGTCCTTCGGGAACCACAGTTGACAGAGGAACCCCAAGCGTAGGATGCATGTAGTGCACTGTTTATCGGTCAGTAGGAACGTCGGCGTACAACGTAACCTGGTGAGAAATACATATAGCGGGTTCTTCACCATGAATTCTGTTGTTTCCTAGTGGCTCGCCGGCATTTATTGACGAGGAATGGCAGATGACGGACATGATGGAATTATTTTTTGGGGTAGACATGGGCGATACCAGCACCACCATTTGTTTCGGTGGCAAGGCGAGTTTTGGTTATGCTGATATATCATCAGACATGCAGCAGGCTTCG